AGTAAACAATACCCTAATCAAGGAACTACCAGAGGGAAAAAATAAAACAAAAACCCCACCCACACCCCCACCAGCACTGGCAGGGCATGCCACAGTATATAAACAGGGAGCAAACCCCATTCCATTCTAGCATTGAAGATGTTACCTGGCTGGGTAACGAAACATTTGCAAGAAAACGACCAAGCTCAGAGAACCCCAAGGACTCCACAGTTCAACCCTGAGCTACACATATTTGCTTCTATTGGTACTTTAAGATGTGTGGATTTCAACTCCCAGAATTGGTTGCCAAATGTTAGCTAATGGTTCCCTCTTCCCAAATTTATCTTAGAATCCCAAGCTCATCCAAATGTTTTCAACTGCTCTTTCAACTGTTACTATAGCTTATTTCAGTTATGGTTGTAAAAACCCCACAGAGTATCAGACAGGAAGAACTTTTATCTTTAATGGGAGATAAACAGGAAAAGGAGAATAGCATGCTCGGTAGTAAAAAAAGAAAAAAAAACCCACTGAATTTTAAACTGGCTAATTTCATTTAATTTTATGCACAGTCCCAGACCAATAAAACACAAATGCAAAATTTAAAATACAGGAAAAAAACAAACCTGAAACAATAAAGAGAAGAAGATATCACTCAGGTTCTGCAAGCCATAGCTATTCCAAGAATAGGCAGCACACATACCTAATACTTTGCCTTCTATTTTCCCCACAACAACCACCCTGTGAGGTGGGTTGGGCTGAGCAAGAGGGACTAGCCCAAAGTCACCCAGCCAGCTTTCATGCCTAAAGAGGCCTGGAAGTCACATTGCATTCCTTATGTGAAATATAAAGTGCAAAGAGCCAGCATGCTGGCAGCATTTACCTCCATTGCTCCCCAAAGTATCATGAACTGCAATGGAAAATTCACCATAAGTGACACTTCCAGAATTTTAGTTAAGTTACCTGTTCCAGAAGATAAATGAATCCTTTGGCTTGTGAAAGTCTAACAAATTTATTGTGACTTCCTGACAAAAAATAGCAATC